TTGTGTATTCGGTTTATTGTAATTTATGTATTTTAAATTCTAATTTTACACATATATTGTAAAGAAGGTGTTATTTTATAAAAAATAATACATATAATTATATAGTATTAAGTTAAAATAAATCTAGGATATTAAATCACTCTTTCAAAACATAATTGTACATAGTTTACTCACTTTATCCTCTCTCTTTTTCTATCCCTCTTCCCAATAAAATTTCTTCCTTTCTTTATTTTTCAATAATTTGCAATTACATTATATTTTTTGAAGTTTTATTTATAAATAATTTGTCAATAATATATAATTATTAATTAAAGGACAAATAAAAGAACACAAAATAATAAACTTTATTTTAGGAATATTTATAGGGAATTAAATTTGTCATTGGTGAATGCATTTGACAGATTATGGGGGGTTGATTTGGAAAATATTTTCTACTCGATTTATTTTTTATTGAGTATAATAAAAAATAACACTTTTATACTATTCTTGTTTGAGTAAATATCATTTTCGATCCTCAGCAATTTTTACTATACCCGCTTTAGTTCTTAGCAAATAAAAAAAATTATTCGGGGTCCATTTCGAATTTTTTAGAAAACACGAATAATTTTTTTATTTGCTTTTTGCATAGTAAAATTTGCTGACTCTTTTTGTTTTTTATGTTTATTTTTACCCGTATCCTTTTTTTTTTCATTTTTGACAAAGAGAATATTTAGTTCCGGTATGCTGAAAATGCACTCGTTGATTTGATTTCTCATTATTTTTTCCTTTAATCGGTAGGTGAAGTACGGTATTGATCGAGTGATTCGTACTTTGCCGCGCATGTACCAGGTTAGACACTTTAACTACAAACATTAACTAAATTGTTCTTCGTCATTCATTTGCTTTTGGAGTTCTGACTGAGTATGTTGCTTTATCAGCTTGCCCAGGGTGGTACGGCTGTCGGGACTGGATTGAACACAAAGAAAGGGTGCGTATGCTTTTTTATAGCTAAATGGTTCTTCTTTTTTTATTTTCCTTTTGTAACCTTTCAGTGTATTGTTTTGTTTTTGTACCTTGGTATTTGATGTCTACCAAAATATTTAGGCAGAAGAAAACATTTGTGATTTAACTTCTTAAAGAAATAAATTTGGTTAAGCAGTGGTAATTTCTGGATGGTATTCAGGTTCGATGTTAAGATAGCAGCAGCAGTAGCTGAGGAAACAAATCTGCCTTTTGTCACGGCAGAAAATAAGTTTGAGGCCTTGGTTTGTTACTTTAAACTTTTATTTATTTTCCTTGTCTTTAATTTGTTCATATGTTATTTTTCATTATGCTAGCTTCAATTCCATTAATCTTGCATCACATGTAGCATGCTGATATTCTCCTTTTGCAGGCTGCCCATGATGCTTTTGTTGAAACCAGTGGAGCCCTCAACACAGTTGTGGCTTCTTTAATGAAGATTGCTAATGATATACGGTTATTAGGGAGGTAGGTTAATAGTTAATTATGTGACAATGTCTGATAAATTGCATTTCTATTTTAGAAAATTATTCATATTCTTTCATTGCTATCCTATTATAGTGGTCCCCGTTGCGGCCTTGGGGAACTCATTCTTCCTGAAAACGAACCAGGAAGCAGTATAATGCCCGTAAGAACCTTATGCTAATTAAATGAATATTTGTTTGTTACATAAACAAGCTGTTTTCTTGTTACTTGCTATAGTTTATTATTTTATTTGTCTTTCAATTAGGATTTGAATCTAAGCCACAATCTTATTCTGTTTCAGGGGAAGGTTAACCCTACCCAGTGTGAGGCTTTGACAATGGTTTGTGCACAGGTAGACATCAATTTTTTTCATTTTACTAAAATATTTTAATGTTATGACTAATAGAGTACTGATTAGCCAAATGTTTCTACAACTGTAATAAAGTCATGCATTTTGAATTCTATGTTATGATTCACTTATTTCAGGTTATGGGAAACAATGTTGCGATCACAGTGGGTGGATCAAATGGTCATTTTGAGCTCAATGTGTACAAGCCAATGATTGCCAGTTGTCTCCTGCGGGTATGATTTATATCCGTTGTTTTTCTTATGTTGTTGATTATAAATTTATGCAATGTGGAATAATGTATCCTACTACATTACCTAAAAGATGTACTTAAATCACTATTTTTATTCTGATAGTCACTGAGACTGCTGGGAGATTCATCTGCTTCCTTCGAAAAGAATTGTGTAAGAGGTATTCAAGCTAATAGGGAAAGAATTTCAAAATTACTGCATGAGGTGAGTTGATGACTTACTTGAAATCAAATCTCACATGATGCCAAATTAATGTATGATCCCTATAAGCTAATGTACACTGTTGTTTCACTTTTAATTTACCTTGCAGTCACTAATGCTCGTCACAGCCTTGAACCCAGTAAGTTTCCACTCGTCTAATCATGTGACTTCCTAAATTTCACATTCTTTTGAAACTAAAATATAAATTATCTGTAACAGAAAATTGGGTATGACAAGGCAGCAGCAGTTGCCAAGACAGCCCACAAAGAGGGGACTACTCTTAAGGTGATGGTGCCTTGTTCTTTTTGTTTCCTATGATTTCTATGTGCTGTTCGGGAATGTCCAATAAATTTTGGCTGAAATATCGAAATTGAAATGATTGTGTAGGAAGCTGCATTGAAGCTTGGAGTACTGAGCTCCGAAGATTTCGACAATCTTGTGGTGCCTGAGAAAATGATTGGCCCAACTGATTAATTAATGACTAGCATATAATGTTTAGTCCTTCTTGTAATTCCTTATCTCCATATCAGCTACATTATTGGAGTTGTATTTTTGAATCGTACCCTTTTCTTTAAATTGAGAAATTGCAATAAAGTAAATAATAATTGACTTCCTAAGTTGATATTCTCGACGGAAAAAGCTTCTCAGAATATGTAACGAGACAATGTATTGCAGAAATTTACTGGTCCATATTAAGGGGGCAATATTCGATTTCTTGTCATTCCATTATATTTTTGTTTTTCTAGTGATTTCTTGCCTTTCTGGAGTTATTAGTTGTTATTATTAGTTGTTACCCAGTTCTGTTTTGCATAGACAATGTATGGCAGAATTAAAGAAGCCTATAATTTTTTATAATAACCGGGTCGAATTTTGAACCTCACAATTTTTAAAATTCTTCACCATACTCGTTTTTAGTGCTGGAATGGTCCCAGATATTTTTTTATCCGTACATCGCTTAAAGGTTGTTTAATTTCTAAATTAACCCCTTATTAGTTTCTTCTAGCATCCTCTTTTCATGTCCTGACGTATTATAAAATATATTGCTTGATATAAGAGACAACAGTACTACTGATTATATTCTTTGAGGATAATTATACTGATCTCTTCTGAAGTTATAATTAATTATATTTATATTATTTTTTTGTTTAGAAAAGAAGCCCTTACTTATCTTATTTTCTGTGTTGTTTTTATACTTTGATTTTTTTCATAAAAAATTATACATTTCTTTATTATTTTTATATACAGATTATACATGAAGTAGAAAAATCACTCCGCACTGAGTATGGGTGAGGGTCTGTTTTCTGGATTTGAAGAGATTTACATCACAAATAATCAGTTTTATCACTACTTTTTTTTTTTGCTAGTTAGTTTTATCACTACTTTAAATTCGCTCTTTACATATTATATATAAAGTATTTTTTAAAAATAATAACGAAAGGAAAATGAATATAATTTAAAAAAAAAAATAAGTGCAATATCCTATTTTCTAGTCAAAGAAGTTAGCAATATCATCCTAATCAAATCCGATTGTTCTTTTGTTTTATTTGCTGTGTTAAATGTATCCGCATATACAGTAATGTTTTGTCCTAAACGACTAAACGATAAATGGTGGAACATGAAAATTACCCACACAAAAAAGTAACAAATGTTTTTCATCTTAAATGATTTAAAATTATGTCATTTCAAAAGAGAAACAGGCACAAAAAAAAAAAAATTGAATTTTAAATTAAAAATAACCATTTACTCTCTCTCATGATTTCTGTTTTTCCGTGTCTATCTTTCCTTTAAAATGACATAATTTATGTCATTTAAAATGACAAACAATAAATTAAAAAAAAAATGGTGAAACATGGAAGAAGAAAAATTAAAGAAAAGGAAAGAAAAAAAAATTCCACCAGTACCCTACTTATTTAATAGATCAACTAATTTGCATTTTCTGACCTCCGGCCATTGGTTATGTGATGCCAAGCGATGTCTAATGCAAGAGGAGATATCACAATCACTGAAATACATCGAACATTGGCTAACATTCTGAGGTTCGGAGAACGAGGCGATGGATCTTCTCTCTCACTTTTCAACTCACATCTTTGCTTTGAATATTAACTTGTTTCCCTCTTTAATATATTCTAACCTTTTTTTGCGGGGAAAGAAATCTAACGACGTTTATGCTTTTACATACTTCATCATAATGTTACGCATCTCCCATTTCAGTGTGCTCTTTAAATGAATTCTATTCCACCAAAAGTATTAAAGCAACCACCCTATCGGGATTTTAATTCCTAACTAAACTCAAAATAAGAGTATAATTCGATTAAACAGTATTTAATGAACCATTCATAACAAGAAAAACTCCAATTTAATACGTGACCACCGCCCAGCATTCTATTAAACAAAGCTAATTAACAAAAGAAATCAGAACTTGTCAATTAAAAACTGAGACCTCTCTCGTAACCTGAGCCCACAGTTTTGCATGAAAGTTAGAGCACGTGAACTAAATTAATCTCTTTGTTATACAGTTTAACATGATCACAAAAAATTTCCTGCATACACAATATTTTGTGGGACTCACAGCAAAAAAAAAATTTCGGCACGCAAAACGGATCTTTATAGCATAACACAATCATTTTTCCTACCATATAACTCTTATAAAACCCTTATTTCTCTTTTCCTTTCTCAAACATTATTTATTACCTCTATATAATAAAGAGTAAGGTCCCCTTATCTTATCTCATATCTTAAAATTTTAATTGAATGCCTTAGTAGTTAGTTTACTTAAATTTGGAGTAAAACGAAAAAGTAAAGAGGAGGAGGAGGGTGGCGGTGTAAGAGTCCACGCACGCGCGAATCATGTCTGAATCGATTAAACTTTACTCATCCTCCTCCTTCGTCTTCTTCTTGTTGATAAATGAACGGCTCTGATCATCCGAGCGCAACTCTCTGGGCATGATCTTCTGCCTTCTGATTTCTTCTTCTTGGTAATCACTGTCGTCACTTTCTATTCCGTACTCTTTAGTTTAACTTAAGATCCACTCATGCTATAATACAATTGTTTATTCAGTTAAACATTCGCTTCTGGAGAGATTTGTACGACCATAATCATTTGTCAATTAAATATATTGTATGCTATTATTTTATTTGAAAGATATTCGGTTTTGTCTCTGAACTCATATGTTTAGATTCATAGCTTAATTTGGATTTATATAGTTATGAGCGCTCTCTCTGGTTGATGTTGATTTTGAAATTGTGTACATGGCTGTGATAGAATAGAATGCATATATGTATAACTTTGTGAAATAGTGTATGTCGTTGGTGACAGATCTATTCATATTCATAATTTTATAATCATAGGGTTTGTAGATGATGGAGTCGTGTGATTGCATCGACACACAGTGGCCACCGGATGAGCTTCTTGTGAAATATCAGTATATCTCGGATGTGCTTATTGCACTTGCATATTTCTCCATTCCTGTGGAGCTGATCTATTTTGTTCACAAATCGGCTTTCTTCCCTTATAGATGGGTGCTTATGCAGTTTGGGGCTTTCATTATTCTTTGTGGAGCAACTCATTTCATAAACTTGTGGACATTCTCCACCCACTCCAAAACTGTTGCTGTGGTGATGACAATTGCCAAGTTATCATGTGCTATTGTGTCCTGCGCGACCGCGCTTATGCTTGTCCACATTATCCCTGACCTGTTGAGTGTCAAGACTCGCGAGATGTTCCTTAAGAACAAGGCTGAAGAGCTTGACAGGGAGATGGGGCTTATTCTTACTCAAGAAGAAACAGGAAGGCATGTTAGAATGTTGACTCATGAAATTAGGAGCACACTTGATAGGGATACCATTCTCAAAACTACCCTTGTTGAGCTGGGTAGGACTTTGGGCTTGGAGGAATGTGCTCTGTGGATGCCATCAAGAAGTAGTTTGAATCTGCTACTTTCACATACTTTGAGCTACCAGGTACAAGTTGGGTCTACTGTCCCAACAAATCTTCCTATTGTCAATGAAGTCTTTAGTAGTCCTCGAACAATAAGAATACCTCACACATGCCCGCTGGCAAGGATCAGACCTCTTGTGGGAAAATATGTGTCACCCGAAATTGTTGCTGTTCGGGTGCCTCTTTTACATCTCTCCAACTTCCAAATTAATGATTGGCCTGATCTTTCGGCTAAAAGCTATGCAATCATGGTTCTGATCCTCCCTACTGACAGTGCTAGAAAATGGCGAGACCATGAATTGGAACTGGTTGATGTTGTTGCAGATCAGGTCCATTTCAGATTTCATTTCTCTTTTTGGCTGTCATTTTTCTTGTGTTCTTGTTTTTAATTGAATATTCGTTTATTGCTTGCCCATAAGTTAATTGATCAAGGTTAACAGTCGTACTCATTGTAGTATTGAACTGTAGGGTAGAGCATAAAAGAAATAGGAATGGCAATCAACCATTGGCTTTGCCTCCAAATATCACATGGCGGGACTTTATAGGTTATTTTTCAAATTTATATCTCATGTTGGTAAATTTAGTAAATAATCCTATTTGGAGAATTGAAAAGGTGTAAACAAGCTCATGCTAACATCTGATAGCATCTGTCGAGACAAGAGGTTGAGTTATTTTTTTCGCTGTTTTGTCTTGCATAAATTTCCTCTCTTCATAACTAACCTATATGTTGATTTTTGTTCCATTGTATGCTTTACAGGAAAGCTCATTTTCGAACTTGACTAATTGACCTTGTTAACAGTGTTTGGGATTTGGTTTTGTAACGATAGATATAGTGCCTCAATTCCCATTTCAGAATTGACAGCCATTTTCAAGTGTTGTATAGGCATTTATTTTCTTTATATTGACCTCAAATGTGGGAACATAGTTGTAATACTGTTAAGTAGGAAATTTCTGGGCCTATTCCTCTGCATGCTGGATTCATTTCTCGTTTCCAAACAGGTAGCAGTTGCGCTTTCCCATGCTGCTATTTTGGAGGAGTCTATGAGAGCCCGTGATCAACTCATGGAGCAGAATCTTGCTTTAGATTTAGCTCGACGGGAGGCAGAGATAGCAATTCATGCTCGCAATGATTTTCTTGCCGTCATGAATCATGAAATGAGGACACCAATGCATGCAATTATAGCGTTGTCATCACTTCTCCTGGAGACTGAACTTACTCCTGAGCAGAGGGTTATGATAGAAACAGTATTAAAGAGTAGTAACGTTTTGGCAACACTTATCAATGATGTCCTGGATCTTTCTAAACTGGAAGATGGTAGCCTTGAATTAGAAATGGGAAAATTCAACCTTCATGGGGTTTTGGGAGAGGTAATTCCTATCAATCTTCTCCTCATGCTTTGAAACAGCTGTAACATTATTGCTTATCTTGTCCAGAACTTAATGCTTTCCTCTTTTCTATCTTAATTCTTGAGTGTAGGTCATTAAATTAATTAAGCCTATAGCATCTGTGAAGAAATTGCCTATGACTTTAATTCTGGCCCCTGACCTGCCTATTTTTGCCATTGGCGATGAAGAACGACTTATCCAAACTCTTTTAAATGTTGTGGGAAATGCTGTTAAATTCACTAAAGAAGGCTATGTTTCTATAAGAGCATCTGTTGCAAAACCAGAATCTTTACAGGATTGGCGACCTCCTGAGTTTCATCCAGTATCAAGTGATGGCCATTTCTACATGCGAGTACAGGTTTGAATATCTGAGTTTTAATAGTCTTAATTTGTTATGTATTAAGTTGTGGAACCATTCCTTATGTTTTATAACCAGATTCTAATGTGATTGAATGCTTTGGGTATCTAAAAAATTAAATATCATGGGGAATGGTTAGGAATATGCCAAGATACATCTGCCTATCTTGTTTTTGTCAATATTGTCTCTGTTTGAAACTAATCTGTTTATTCCTTGCCATCTCCTTATTTGTTTACCCTCGGATCCCTCTTTTGTGCAGGTTAAGGATTCTGGATGTGGCATTCTCCCACAAGATATTCCACATCTCTTTACCAAATTTGCTCAGTCCCGGAGCATACCCGCTCGACCTAGCAGTGGTGCTGGTCTTGGGCTTGCCATTTGTAAAAGGTAGAAGCAAAATCCTACGTTCTAAAACTACTTTGACTTTGCAAAGAGCTTCTCTCGTTTCAGAGTAAATCTGGTGTTCATTACCTTATGAGACACCGTTTTTACGCTCACTCTAAAGGGATGCTAATGCTATTGAATATATATAGGGATCAAGATCTTCTGGAGTGCACAGTGCACTCTAGAGAGTAAAGTGCAAAGTTGCTAACCATTGATAACAAACTATGAATTTCTTAAAACCTACTTCAATTTTTTGCTTGAGTGGTTACCACGTGCAGGGTGCACTTTAGAGTATCAAAATCCTTTATACAGTAGATTTTTCATTACTTTAAGTTAATGACTCTCCTCTTCAAAATTGAATCAGATTTGTAAATCTCATGGGAGGTCACATATGGATTGAGAGTGAGGGCCTTGATAGAGGAACCACAACTACATTCATTGTCAAACTTGGGTTTTTTGGCAATCCAGATTTGTCAGGGCACCAAGTTGCTAACAGAAGCCAAGCATACAGCGGAAGTGTAGACCTAATTGGATGTAAGTCCTTTGTCCAAGATAATGATGAGCTAGGCTTTTCTAATCGACGCTATCAAAGAAGTCTCTAAAATCCTGAACACCAAAATTGCATCCATGGAATTGGATCAGGTCATTTTGTTTCGCCTTTGAGACCAAAATGGTACCCTTCCTATCACAACTGTATGTAAATTTATTGTTATTTTGCATATGGCAAATTGTATAATTTGCAGTTAGCAGATATAGATTAGGATTACTATGTCATGCCGTACTAGTTTGCGATACATAGAAACAGAATTTAGAGATCTCCATTACTTATTTTGATTTCAATCGCATTGTTAGTGTTGGCCCGTGGCTTTTGGTTTATGGAGATGACACTTTCACAATGACAACTTTGCTCTATCAGCGTGAATTAGTTATTGGAACTTTGAGGTTGAAGAGGCTAGTGATTAGCAGCTTTAGTAAATAAACGAGACAGTTCAATTGTGGGTGTATCAAGATGCATTAGTACAGAATATTGATTCGGAGTATATGATGTTAATTGATTTTAGAGACCTAAAAATGGAGGAAAATTAGTTGAAACATTGACAAAATTTTACCACTTCTAACCCTTCTTGTGTTACGGGAACAAAAAGCATAAATTAAAAGGAAGTTTTCAAAGGAAGGAAGAGGCTACTTGTCATGGGACTAGCAAAGCCCACAGCAAATACCTAATTGCAAGAACATTCAACATTGCTGTGTATACAATAATGATATTTCAAAAGCATTATTCTAATTGAATAAATGAAATATCATACTATTTTCATTGCATAATTTTTACATTACTTTTTTAGATAATTTAAAAACACATACACACAAATTCCAACATATTTACTGTTTTTTTTTTAATCTCAAATAGGCAAAATGGAAAAATGATGTAGGTATATTTTGTACAAACCATATTCCTATTTAATATCACTGTTAGAGAATAATCTTTGATATCATTAGGCTTTGTTCATTTTCTTTTTCTTTTTTTTCTTTAGGGAGAGTATAATGGTGTCTAAAGCCCAAAACTACACGAGATATTCTAATTGCAAACTCCCACTACCCATGGGAGGACTTTCTAGGAAATGAAGACCTAATGTATGTGTAACCCGCTCATTCCACTCTCTTCCTCGAAGGTGATCGATGGATTTTGAAAGAAGCTGCACAACGATGAGAGTTCTACATAACCTTCTGTAGAAGCTTCCCAGCCAATGACGATTCCGATTCCACCCAGATCTAAGTAACAACACCATAGTTCTAAGCAAGTCGTAAAGCATAGACAAAACCGCAAACTTCCAAGAGCCAGATGCATCCCCAAACATACCCCCACTGGCTGCCAAGTGACCTCCCTGAAGCCATCTATGTTGCAATTCCATCCCTCTATCCTTCCTATTACGGGAAACACCACCCTAGCACCTATTACGGGAAACACCACCCTAGCACCATCAAATTAGTAATCTGATGAGGATTTTATTTCTATAAAGATGTAATTCACTTTTTTCAGTCCACGTATAAATATGTGGCAATTGGCAAGTAACAGTTGCGCAATTCATAAACCTTTGTAGTCTATTTTCAAGTGTGGATGCTAAATGCGCAAGATTTTTCAACATACAGAAAAATCTTAAGGATTAGAGGGAAAAGTGGGAGAAATTGAAAAACAAATGATGGGCATTAGAGGTAACATTACTCTTGGGTGTGTTTGGTAGAAGATTTTGTTAAAGATAGCTAGACAAATGAAAGTGATATTTTTGGATGTTCATGTTTTAAAAAATTTTGCTTTGCCTAGTATTTACTTTTTGTGTGTAAAAATACTGTTGAATAATACCACTTACAAGATGATATTTGATGATAAATGAGAAAATCCAAAAAGGATTACAAGCAAAAAGACCAAAATGACCCTGATGTTTGAAAAAACTAAAGCAAACTAAAATCATATTTTCCTATTTTATTTTAATCAAGGGTTATTGTGGTAATTTAACCATATTTGCACACCTATATTTTACCTTCAACCAAACATAGACTTACAAAATTCTACTCAATTTTTCCGGTAAAATTTTAACCAACCAAACAAACTTTTTTTTAATTTTCCTACCAAACTTTATTTCCCACCATATCCCTAGTAATTACATTTCTGGTAAAAAAAAATTTCTCTTCTACCAAACGCTCCATTGAGAGTAACTTTCCAAGGATGATCATTAAAGAGCATACCAATAAGTTATCCAAGAGTCCCTCATCATCAAACCTTAAAAAATTACACGTAAATCAAGGTCGGGACATTCCGTATTTGCATCTGGCATAATTATATGGAGGAATTATTAGAGGGGTAAGGAGGGAGGCTCGGGAATTGAGACAAACAACTTCATAACTGAAACAAAGATAACTCGAGTATTTCCGCAAACATGTGCATCTTCATAACAAAAATGGCAAAAATAAATAAACAAAATGTACATTGTACATGGACAACTTTAATTTCGAATAAAACTAACACGCTCTAAACAAACAGAAGACTTCGTCAAAACTACATTAGCCCAGTCACTCAGGATGCCAAACACATTAAAGATTCAACATCCTTTCAATCTCTGAATTCGTGACTTACTTCTTGGTTTTCTTTAGTGCTCTGCAGAAAAGACACTCATTCAGACCACAACATAATCACACAAAAAAGTGCTACAGAAACCACAAGCCTGCACAATAATACTTACTGGGCTGGCTGGGACGCTGTTGCAGATGGAACACTTGGTGCTGCAGATGGCTTCTCTCCAGGACCCTAAACATTTTTTAGAGAAAGCAGAAAGGGTCAAATTTCTTAATACCAATTTGAGTGACAATTCTTCTCAGCACTGTAAATTGCCAAGTGCAGAGAATAAAATACAAATTCACCGTATGTATGAATAGATTCTCAAAAATATACAGAACTCACCTGGGCCAAGCGCTCTTCTCTCCGAGCAAATTTCCTTTCCCTGCTTGCCTTGTTCTTTGCCCTCTTGGCTTCAAACTGGTCAGATAGAGTCTTCTCTCTTGCCTTCTCAGCCTTGGACTTGTGTATGCTCTCCATGAGTACTCGCTTGTTCTTGAAGACATTACCCTTTACCTTCATGTACATATCATGGTACATGTGTTTGTCAATCTTCTTTGATTCCCTGTACTTGCGAAGCAAACGTCTGAGGACACGCATCCTCCTCATCCAAAGGATTTTGGTGGGAAGTCTTGCCTCTCTTGTTCCCTTCCGCTTACCTGTTTATTTAGGCAAATGGCAAACTTATAATTACCAAATAATGCATTTCAGCTAGGACCATAAAGCAATTCAGGTCAAGCCATATAGCAATATTTCAAATACATTTTTAGTATCGATAATAACTCGCGCACCCTAAACTAATTTTCACAGCTATTATACTGGTCTTTCCAATTAAAATGCAGCTCAGAAGAATCCTGTCAATTATACAATGTGTAAATAGTGAAAACATTGAACAAGCAGATAAGCACCAGCTCACAAACTAACAGGGACTACATGCATAATCCCTGATTATCTTTATGATCATAAAGTATTTAGTTTTTGTTGAAACATATACGTCTCAGGGTGGCTGGCTTTTTCTTATATCGATGCTTATTTCATGCAGAGCTCCAATATGTAATGACCACCAATGCATTCGACACAAACCCACTTTAGATTAAAAACAGTTCAATACCGTATCCAGAGTGGCGTCCCTTCCTCTTGGCCTCTTTCATTCGCCGAGCACGAGAGCGAGAGTGAATCTTAGTTGGCTTCCTGATAATGAAGCCATCCTTAACCAACTTCCTAACGTTTTGGCCTGCAAATGGAAATCAGCCAAGCTATTCAGCTCATTTGTAAACAATATAAATTGAACAAAACAATATATACTATGACTAGCCTGGTAACATACATGACTAGAGAAAAGTGTCTCCCGCACTTCAAAAATAATGTAAATTTCATTAATTTTTAATAATTCACTGAAAATGAGCATAGAGAACCCCTAAATTTTATTAAGTATTTCGATCTACCCTCATTGAGAAGGAAGCTAAAGTGCCAGCGGAAGCATACAATAAGAGGCTATAATCGCATTTGCAGGGCTAATATCATTAATTAAGCCAGGTTATACAAGTCCTATCAAATTAATCTGAATTAAAGGGGGCAAGGGCAAAATAATATGTTACAATTACCACATAAGCTCAAAAAAAAAAAAAAAAAAACTATCAGATTCCGATCCTACACAATACAGAACTTGTATTTTCTAGTTCAAATGAAACAAAAACATTCATGTTCCTGACACTCCGCAAACAAACGGTTGTAGACATGTTCAAAAGCAAAATAAACAAAACCAACATCGGTGGACTGAAAGAAAGATCATAAAACAGAAAGTGCGTACGAGAATTAGCCATGGAGATTTCATTGACTTCATTAGGATCAAGCCAAACCTTGCCTCTACCGCACTTGAGCACGCTAGCAGCAAGCCGCTTCTGAAGTTTCAGCGAAACCATCTCTCTCTCTCTCTCTCTCTCTCTCTCAAGACGGAATTGCGCGAACGAGGCAATTTATATCTCCCCCCACTATTAGTAACCCTAGGGTTTGCATTTTTTTTTTAATTTTTTTTTTTATTTTGTGCGTGGAGTGCAAGGTATTTTGAATTTGACCATTTGTTGGGTGGGAATGTAATAACCTGTTTGGATCCTCTCTTTTTTTGAGTTAGAAGCTACTTATAAGCATAAGTTAGGTCAAACAGATTTTGAGAAAAGCTCTTATAATAAAAAGCTCTTTTTTTTATAATGAAGAAAAAAGCTGAAAAAAAGTTTCTATGAGGAGCTTTTTTTTAAGCTCTTATATATTTTTCTTGAATTGTATGTTTTTTTTCAAAACGAAGAGTGATAGAGAGAGAGATAATTTTCTTGAACTTTTAAGTAATTTTTAAACTAAGAATTTTACGTAATTTTCAAACAGCTTTTAACTTCTCTTTTTAAATTCTCTTTTTTAGCTTTAGCTTATAAGTAGCTTCTAGCTTAAAAATAAGAGGATGGAAACATTTCTCTAAGTACAACAATATTGGGTTTGATTTTAGTCATGTTACACTAATATTATATTGCGTGCCAACGTTTTACTAAGTACAACAATATTGGGTTTGATTTTAGAGGTTTATATTTCAAGAAGAGGTAAGAAGAGAACTTTTGCAGCATATACAGGTAGGTCCCACCTAAAAAAAAAATTAAACAAATTTTAAAAAGTAAATATAACATGAGAAGACTTCTTATGTTGCATAAAAAATATAAGGGTTTATCATCTATCATTTAACATGACCATAAAAAGTTTCCTACACACACAACATTTTGTGGGGCCCGCAGCAAAAAAAAAAAAAACAAAACTTCAGCACGCAAAACGAATCTCTATAACATAACACAATCACTTTTCCTACAACATAACTCTTATAAAACCCAAAATATAAATCCCTTGATTTAATAACTTTGATATTATAAAATTTTATCTTCTATACACGGGTTCACGTGAAATCATGTGAGGAGAAGAGAAAAATGAAAAATAAGAACTCCATACACTATGTATAAAAAATAATTTTATCCCCTCAGAGAAAGACATTCAACCCTGATTTTATATATCATGCCCCATTTTCAAACGCGCCCTTAGAAAAGTACTATTTTTTATATACTTTTATAAAATTTAATTTTAAACACTTATTTTTTGAAAGTCAATAATTATGACCAGTAAAAGAATACAAGAATTCTAATTTTCAAAACCAGTACCAGCCCAATTAGCCAGACCAGGTTATGGAACTAGATAAGTTTTAAAGCTCCCTAATCTAACATCAAACACAATCCAAAAACTAGTAAGATTCGCAATGCAAAAAAGCATACTTTCTTAAAATTAGAAAGATATTCTTTATGTATACACTCCTCAATTGAAAATATGTTCAAAAGTACTTTGCTCAAAGGAAACAAGTATAATGCTTTTTATTGAAATAAAATGGATGAAGTGAAAGTGGTTGATGTATTGCGTGATCGTAAAATGCTTACATATGGAAGGTAGATATTTATTGAATCGTAGTTAGACTTGCAATTTTTTCAGAAAGTGATCGATGGTAAATATTAGTTACGAGCATAAGATGAAGAATATAAAAATAAAATGGGAAAAATATTTGTCCTTTTAAAGAATATAATTTTTATCATTTTAGATCTTAATCATTGATATCCGTCAATCAACGGTTAAAATTTACTAGGTTAAATTTATTAATTAATTATTAATTCGTAATAAAATTCAATAAATCCTAATTGTTGATTGACAAAAATCAACGGTTAAGATCTAAAATGACACAAAATTATATACATTAAAAGGACAAATATTTTTCCCAAAATAAAAATGTTACGGTGTGGATAAGTAGATTTTAGAAGGCTTGAATAACCCTAATAGACGATTACCTTATGTTCTGTTACATGAGAAAGATCCATTTAAGCTGCATGGTCTTCATGAGCATATGATATATAAACGAGCCGAATAGCTCATTAGGATCATGTACGGCTACTCGCTTTATGGGTATAAAATATGGTTCCTTTACGATAGAAAAAAATTGGGCGTTGATGCGTTTTACACTTGTATAAGTAACAATTTCTCAAGAATGTTCGTTCTTAAGGGTCAATGCTAAAATATATGGCCATCCTCCCCCTTCTTCTCAATTTAATATTCTTATTTAAAAGCTCAAAACTCAAGTTTGTCTATAATTACAACTACAGAGCTCAAACAACCCTCAATCTCCTGAAGTTTCATATATGCACCTAGATGTTAGTTAACAAAAAAATGATGAGCTGATATGCTACTAAAAGAGCCCTCGTGTTGCAAATACTCTGGGAAAAACCTACCTCAAGAAAAAAACGATTAGTAACTGGAACACATATGATACAAAAATTGCCCGCAAAACATGAATTAACTAGAAGTCTAAACTATTTACCTAATCTTTTTAAGTTAAATGTAAACGACTTGCATGAATTACGGAAAATTGGAACCTAACACTAAGGTTGCACAAAAAATTTGAACCTATGTTCCCACAAAGTACCTCTGACTACCTCAACAAAAATAATCATTGTTATTCCACAATAGCAACTCATACCATCTGATTTTCTCGTTGAATTGTTTCAGGGGTCAAGCAAATGCATAAATCAAGTAATTTGTAATTGTTAGCTTAAGGTGAGATCAGTAGCAACATAATAAACAAAGGATAGCACAAGTATTTCATCAACCAGGTGAATCTTCATACCAAAATAGTAGAACACCAACAACAACAACAACAATGAAGCTTTACTTCGTTATTAAAATTTTATGGAAAATTTGTAGCATTGATCCATATAATAAATATTGGATACGTAGACACAGGAATTAAAAGTCTAAAATAAAAAATAAATAAGTATTAGCGTAGCTTTTATACTGTAGTTCCTGTTAGCTCTGCACTTCTACTTTGAATTTGGGCAGGTTCCACTCTTGTAGCATCTCAATCCTCTGCATTTCTACTTTTGTGTATAAAAGCCACGCTAATAAAAAGAGAGACACTGGCCAAAACTACTCGAGCACAGTAACTGACAATGCCAGCACAAATAAAGAACTAACATCTAACAAATCTCTGGATACATGATTCACTTCTTAGATTTCTTAGGTGCTCTGCATAAAAAACCTTCATTTAGACCACAAAAAACATGACAGAGAAAAAAGTAATGCTGCAGAAGCGCAAGCACAAAAAAGCATAAACATAACACTCACTGGGCTGGCTGGGATGTTGGTGCAGGTGTAGAACTTGGTGCTGTTGATGGCTTCTCTCCCGGACCCTAAACAAATTACAGAAAGGAAAAAGGCTCAAAATCCTCATTACCAACTTCGTGCCATACTCCTCAGTGCATAAAATTGACTAACAAAATATCATAGTTGTGGGAATAGCACGTTTTGTGATACAGATCACACAATTCGTTGCAATTCGACAAGTCAGGGATTCATATCATGTGATGTCACGTATGACTTTAAATTGTGCAATAAAAGCATAAATTGGAATTATTTTGTGTCATCGATATGAATAGCTAATTTAATTTTTTGTTTTCAGTTCTTTCACCAATTCTAATATGAGAAACTGAAAAGTCAAAAGAGATTAAATTGTTAAATGAAAAGGAACTGAATTTGTAACGCTTGGCAACTTGCAAGGATCAACGACTGTCCCCACACACTAACACGAGACTTTTCAGCGTGCTTTGTCTTCACTCGCACACTTCCCGGGAAAACTTCCCAGAAGGTCACCCATCACAGAATTGCCCCAAGTCAAGTACGCTTAACTATGGAGTTTTTCCGTTCCGGGATACCGAAAAGTAGATACATCTTGTTAGTATAGGTAGTACAAATTAATTCTTATAAGCTATTCCCAACTGTACCGTCCCATACGGGCACAGTCTCTGGAATCCCTCTCTTTCGGGTGTTGATTCGATTCATTCATGTACCCCCGTCGCTGGAAGCCTGTTAGGAGCCGCTCCTTATCCATGCCCTTTTGCACCAGCGATCACTAGGGGTGTCAATATGGGTTTTGACACGCGGGTCGACCCGCGACACGACACGAAAATTCGTGTTCGGGTTGACCCGTAAAAAAATTCGTGTCGTGTTCGTGTTGAAAAAAATGACACGCAAAAAATTCGTGTCGTGTTCGTGTTTATGAATTCGTGTTCGTGTCGACCCGTATTATTTTTAATTATTATTATTTTTATTTTTTTATTATTATTTTTTATTTTTTTATTTATTTTCGTTCTATTTTTTTAATTTTTTTTGTCAATTACCGTTTTGTCCCCTATTTTGCGTGTTATTCGTGTCGTGTCGTGTCAACCCGCAAAAAATTCGTGTCGTGTCAGTGTTGAAGATTTTGACACGAATGAAAATTCGTGTCGTGTTCGTGTTGATGTATTCGTGTCGTGTCGAATTCGTGTCGTGTCAAATTCGTGTCGTGTCAACCCATATTGACACCCCTAGCGATCACTCTCCGCCCTCGTCAGCGCCCAGGATGTTACATGCCCACCAGCTTCCGCCTGGTTCGTCTTCAACCACACAGTACTGGAAGAGAGGCCCTGTTCTGATACCACTTGTAACGTCTGGCCACTTGCAAGGATCAACGACTGTCCCCACACACTAACACGAGATTTTTCAGCGTTCTTTGTCCTCACTCGCACACTTCCCGGGAAAACTTCCCAGAAGGTCATCCATCCCAGAATTGCCCCAAGTCAAGCACGCTTAACTATGGAGTTCTTCCGTTCCGGGCTACCGAAAAGTAGATGCATCTTGTTAGTATAGGTAGTACAAATTAATTCTTATAAGCTATTCCCAATTGTACCGTCTCATACCAGCACAGTCTCTTGAATCCCTCTCTTTCGGGTGTTGATTCGATTCATTCACGTACCCCGTCGCTGGAAGCCTGCCAGGAGCCGCTCCTTGTCCATGCCCTTTCGCACCGGCGATTACTCCCCGTCTTTGTCAGCGCCCGGGATGTTACAGAATTCACCCAATTTT